GCCGTTGCGATAAGATTGAAGGCGGACTTGGGGGCTGACAGCTTCCAATACCTTGCTTCCTCTGGACAGTCCCAGTGTCCCAGGATACCCATCCCTCGATATCTTCCTCCAATGCCGGTTGAACAGCACTATGGAGCAGTCATCTCCTGCAAGTGGATATGGGTAGGTCATAAATTGGGAGCGACCACAATGATTATGTTGGAGTTACTAGTCGTGGTTCATTGACATATTTCTATGTTACTAGGACTCGCGCGGGGCGCGGCTGTCCCCATGTGCTATGGGATACATGTCTACCATACCCGCAATTGTCATCTCAATTGCTGTACTAGGCTACGTACTCCGTAAAGTGTCGATTGCAAAGCGTCCCCAATGGACCAAGCCTTTCGTTCCAGAGCAGCCTATGACCTCTGACTTGCCAATTGATGGCTCAAAACAACAATTGGGCTGGGTGATAACCCTGTTTGCCATCTCATTGGTAGGGCTATCATCAGAACTTATTAAAGTAGTCCTTCTGGGGTGGTCGTCCAATCTTTCTCTTTTGATAGCCTGGGTAAGCCAAGGGTGTCCCTGCAGGGAGTCGTTACACTGACGCTCAAGTAGATGGCCGCAACTTGTTTGATCGCAATAGCCCGTCCGAGGTCTTGCCCTCTTGCTTTACTCAGTTTCTTTATTAGCATACTGGCAGTAGAGACCGCCTCTATAACGATCTATGATGCGCATGAATCTACCCTCGCCCCTCATTATGTCGCAGCCGGTACTGCTTTGGTTGGATGTCTTGCAATCCTCGTGATGCCGCTTCGAGGTCCTTTACTTCCCTGCATGGATATTGGTGCTGTTGGCCAACCCCCATCCAGTAAATACCGCAGCCCCGAGGACAATTTACGGCTCTGGCAATTTCTGAGCGTGTCGTGGATGGCCCCGTTGATCTCCATTGGCAGGAAGAGGCAGTTACAAGAGGAAGATGTTTGGTTCTTAGGATTTGAATTTCAGCACCGCAAGCTACATGAGAAGTTTCGCCGACTAAAAGGGTCTGTTATTGTCCGACTGCTACAGGCTAATGGAATCGACGTCCTGATAATTACCACCATTGCCATTGTGCAGATGCTTTGCGGTCGGTCTTCGATATAACACACACCCTAATGTGATATTGCTGACGAAGTAGTAGATTTTTCTACACCGGTATTACTTCAGCAGTTGCTAAAAGCCATGACTGACCGTGGCTCGTCAAACCGTGTTGCCTTGACATATGCTTTGCTGTCTCTTCTCCTTCGCTTGATTGCCGCGCAGTCGCAAGTGCTAAGTCTGTGGTATGGGAGACGTAGCTACGAGAGAAGTCGAGGCGAGATGATCATGATGGTATATGAAAAAGCTCTTTCTAGAAAGAATGTGTTCGATCAGCAATTGGTCGACAAAGCAGAGGGGGATGGGGTGCAAGATGAAGATAGCACTGCTTTGGGTGCGCAGCCGGAACAGCGCAAGTGGTGGCAATTCTCCGTCTTTCGACGAGCCACGCGCAAAGCAAAGGCCAAAGAAACTGCTTCTATGGGTAAGATATTCAACCTTTTGCGCGGGGATGTCTACGAAGTGGCCCAGCGTTTCTGGGAGATCGACACGTTGGTCGATAAGCCCCTAGGGCTAGTTATTGCGGTTGTGCTGGTATGGAAACTGCTTGGCCCTTCGTGCTTCTTGGGTATTGTGGCAGTTTTGATCGCGCAAGTTCTGAACGCATTTGTCACTCGTGTCCTGCTGCAAAAAGAACGGGTTCGCCGACTTGCAACAGATGGTCGACTACAGGTCTCCTCCCAGTTTGTGGAGGCGCTGCGTCATCTTCGGTGGTATGGATGGCAGAATCACTGGTTGCGCCAGGTTATGGACGCCAGACAATCTGAACTGAACCTTCGTATTGTCACCATGCTATGGGGTATCGTTATCCGGTTCATCAACACCTTCGCCAGTGGCCTCTTCCCTGTAATAGCGCTATACGCATATACTCTTTTGGCGGGAAACCCATTACGCATCGACGTTATCTTCCCTGCTCTACAACTCTTCACTATGCTCGAGACTCGTCTGAGGGACATCCCGAGTCTCATAACGGTGCTGATCAATGCGTCCATCGCTATGGAGAGAATTGAGGACTTCATGGCTGAGCCAGATAAGGAGCAGACGGAGGTCATCGAGACCGAGCCAGCATCAATTCAGCTGGACCATTGCTCTTTTGCCTGGCCTGGTAGACAGTTGCAAGTCCTTCGCGAGGTCGACCTGAGTGTACCAACAGGGCTAACCGTTGTGTATGGCAAAGTTGGAGCTGGTAAAACGGCTCTACTCCAAGCCTTGCTTGGCGAACTGGACAGACTCGCTGGTGTTTCATACGTACCAAATGAAATGATTGGATACTGTGCCCAGACCCCCTGGCTGCAGAGCATGAGTATACGAGACAATATTCTGTTCTCTTCACCATTTGATGCGCAACGTTACAGACGGGTGCTGGATGCGTGTGCCTTGTTACCTGATCTGTCTAACTTCAAGCATGGAGATTTGACCTTTGTGGGTGAAAACGGGGTCGGTCTCTCTGGTGGACAGAAGGCACGGGTGGCTCTTGCACGGGCGATGTACAGCACTGCCAGGATACTGTTCCTTGATGACCCCCTGTCAGCTCTGGACCACAACACAGCCGAAACTGTCGCTCGCAAATGCTTCTCAGGTCCCTTGATGCAGAATCGTACAATTGTGCTGGTCACTCATAGAATTCACCTGGTTCGACAGATGGCAGATCAGATTGTCCTCATACAGAAGGGCCGCGCAGTTGTCGAAGATAAGCATGAGCTCTCGTCGCATGAGAGTGGTCAATCGGAATCCAGCTCGTCCGATACTCCATCTAGTACTGAATCTGAGAGCGAAACGGCACCCACCGACGAGACTGCTGCAGTGCCGACAAAGTTCATAGAAGAAGAGCATCGAGCAGAATGGGGTGTCAAAGCTAGAGTGTATTGGAAGTACATCAGAGCCAGCAAGTACAGATGGTGGATAACCCTGATTCTCGTGCTTGCTGTGTACCGGTTCACATCCGTGGGACAATCCTGGTTTTTGAAGGAGTGGGGAGAAGCCTACAATGAAACACTTCTATTGTTCGGATACTCCGGTACGAACAAGAAGTCGTTCTCGGGGGACTGGATAACACCGTCGGCCATGGTGAAAATGCTCGACTGGAGACCTTCCAACCCCATTGACGAATTCCCGGCACCAGTTGAAGATGTCCGTCCGTGGCTGCTGGCCTTCTTCATCATCACCACTTTCCAATCAGTCGTCCTCCTGGTTGCGCAACTTGTGATGCTTGTGATGGTCTATAGTGCAGGAAAGACGCTTTTCCAGGAAGTCATGGGGCGAGTGAGCCATGCTACCTTTCGGTTCTTCGATGTGACTCCCATTGGCCGATTGATGAATCGCTTGACCTCGGACATCGGCGTTGTTGATGGAAATATCAGCGAACAGTTCCAAATGATTGCCTTCCAGGCTATTACTTGGATTTCATCTATTGTTGTGATCGCCTCAGTGACACCGACCTTTCTCGGATTCTCACTTGTACTAACGGCAGCATTTGTCATGGTTTTTCTGCGTTTTCTACCAACGTCGCAGAGCCTTCGGCGGTTAGAGATGGTGTCACTAAGCCCATTGATATCTAATTTCGGTGAACTGCTTCACGGCCTGACCACCGTTCGCGCATTCCATGCCGAAGGGCGCTTTCAAGATCGAGTCATCGCAGTAGTGGATAAATTCCAAGGAATGGACCACTTCTACTGGTCTCTCCAGAGCTGGCTCATGTATCGATTCGAGAGCCTCTCCGCTTTCTCGACATTCTGCCTTACCGTCCTGGCCTTGTACACGAGCGTCTCGCCGGGTCTAGCAGCGTTCGTGCTCGTAGCAGCCAATAACTTCGTCGCGTCTACCCATGCCCTGTGCAAGCAATATGGCCAACTGCAAATGGATTTTGTCTCAGTTGAGAGGGTAGACGAGCTGCTTCACGTTGAGCAAGAATCACCTGGAACGATAGACCCCCCTGCATCATGGCCCAAGTTCGGCCGTGACATCGTTTTCGAGGACGTGACCATTCGCTATGCGCCTCACCTGGATCCTTCACTCAGAAATGTTTCTCTGCGCATCCCAGGGGGCTCCACGACAGCTATAATCGGCCGAACCGGTAGCGGCAAGTCCACACTGGCCGTGTCGCTACTAAGTGTCATCCGTCCCGACTCGGGACGCATCGTTATCGACGATTTGGACATCACACAAGTCAGTAAACAAGCTCTACGCACCCGAGTCACATTTGTTGCGCAGGACCCAGTTCTCTTCCCCGGAAGCATCCGCTTGAACCTCGACCCAGTAGAGGAGTACTCTGACGCAGAGTGTGCAGACGTCCTGAAACGAATCTGCAGTCGACACGGCTGGAGTCTTGAGACGCACGTTGAAGCTGGCGGACGGAACCTCAGCCAGGGAGAACGCCAGCTAATTGGTCTCGCGAGAGCTGTGTTGCGCCGAAGCTCTATTGTCATCCTGGACGAAGCGACTGCCTCAATTGATCATGAAAGTTCACTCGAAATCCAGCAAGTGCTACGCGAGGAGATGAGGGAGTCGACCGTAATCACCATCGCGCATCGTCTGGAGGCCATCAAAGACGCAGACTACTATATCATGCTGGACCAGGGACGAGTATCCAAGCAGGGATTCGTGAAGGATATGTAAGTATCCGATAGACAGATACGTAGAGAGAAGAAGGAAGCTTTTCCATTTCCATTGCCAGCGAATACATCACAGTAAAAGCCAATGCAGAAACTTTTCCCTCCATAAACGCCCGCTATTCATCTTGAACCGAGACTCCCACAATCTCCTACGCTGAACGCAGGCATAAACCACGAGATCAACTCCGCGGGAAATAAAAAACAATTCCCATCAACTCCCACCAACATCCCATATTCATCGAGTCGAGTCATGAATACACTCCCCCATCACACGAAAATGTACGCAAAAACCACCCACATAACCCAGATGACAGCCAAATCCTGAAAAACAATACTATCATCCAGCGCACGCATTTCCGAACCACTCTCGGAAGTATGACTAGCGTCACTTGTCTTGACCGGGGTAGTTTCTGTCTCAGGATCACCGTTCCCCACACCCGTAGATGATGTCGGAGTGCCCGTTTCAGTGGTAATGGTTGTGACGGTCTCTGGTGCTGCGACTTCTGTAAATCCACTGGCATAGATAGTCGAGGTAGAGGTTGACAGAGGCCCGTCATGACCACTACCACCAGCAGCAGCAGCAGCGGTAGGACTTTCCATAGTGGAAGTAGGATCAGAGGACAAAGTAGAGAAACCCATATCCTGTATGGAGAAGGAGGATGGGGGCATTCTTCCCGGATCAGAGCACGCACGATTACGTAGAGCGCTTTTGTCTTCCTGCTTGGTTGCAGTTTCGGTTGCAGATGGAGAAGTAGAGGTCATGCTCAGCAGCTTGATCAGGGTGAATGATGGTTTAGATGTAGATGAAGCCTTTCGCATATGAGTAGCCGGCAGAAGAGGAGGAACAATGGGGAGCGTAGGGCCAGCGGATGGATCTTCCTTTGGAGTGAAGAGAGGATAGCCGTATTCTTCTTGCTCATCGTTGTCAGGATAGTCGTCGTCAAAGTATTCGTCATAGTATTCGCTAAAGTCGTCGTCAAAGTCTTTGTCGGTGTCTTCATCCTCGACATCCTGGTCGAAAGTATCCTCTGCACCATTGGAATCGTCCAAAATCTGGCCGTTAACCTCATTCTCGTCATCGCAGAGAATAGTCTCCGGCACAGAGACAGGAACAACATCTCTGGACTTCTTAATGATGGCATAGCCGGTTCCATTGAAGGCGCAGAGAGCGTCGCCAGCTGATGAGGTGGTTTCATAACCTGCTCTTTCATTAGTACTGAGTGGGTTAAATACATTTTGGGGGTAAGTACAAGTAGCTTTCTCCTCATAGCCTTCTGGGAGTAGGTCCTTCAGACTATATATTCCATTGCTGTGAGTATCACTCCTGTTAGTTAGAAGGAAGAAGCCCAGCGTACAAGAGGTTGCATGAACTGATCTCCAGTGTGCTGAGATGCACAAGTGATGATAGTCGGGCCCTCAAGGGAGCCGGAAGCGCAGTAGCTGCCGCCGGGCTTGGAGCAGACGAGCGAGTTAGTCTCAGGGTCACTATTGTTTCGTTTCATTTTGGTTAATTATCTGGTTCTTTGTAAGATATATAGGGAGAGGGTAGGCAGACTATGCTATCTGCGCAGCGGCAGTGAGCAGGAGTGCCAGTAAGGTGATTAGGGCAAGGAAGTTGGGAGCCATGGTGATGGTCCTGATCCTGGCGTTGGGATACTGGCGTTGTTTGGGATAGAGGAGATGAGAAGGATAAGGGGGAGAGAAGGAGTAAAGAGGTCTGGAGAACTACGCAGTTTGGATGTTTATGTTTCTATGTGAACGCGCCAGGCGTCTTCAACGCGTCTGTGGATAGCTTCGCGACTTGTGTTGCATATAATGCAGTGAATGGACATGCTAATGGCTCATGTTGTTTGTGTTTGAGCTCACATGGTAGCATAACTAATGTGATAATGTTCATAAGCAGGAACGGCAAGTTGGATGACCAAATCAAGTGTATTAGCATTTGCGACCTGTGCCAGACATGCACAGATGGAGTCTATAAGATGGTATAACCGCAAAAGCAGAGACAATTCGGACGTGGTCCAACAATCCAGCCGCAAGCAACTTTTTATCCCAAATCAGCCCTGTCAAAACGCCATACTCGCCGATAGAAATGCATCAATTCAAATCCCGATCATGACCGGCTCTGCTGCAACTTGCGGATCCTCCGCTTCAGGTCTCCTTCCGTCTGCTGCATCGGGTTCAATTTCCGGTCGCGAGCCATGGCCGAGTAGTTGTCTCCGTGCTTCTCGATCAATCTCGTCACCCACTCCTGCTCTCTGGAGCTCTGATGGCGCGGCTTCTTCGCCCGGACGGCCACTCCCTCCTGCGCAGCTTGGCGCTCGAGTTGCTCAACAATACCATTTCCGGAGGCGGTTTGGCGGGGTTGTGTGACAATCTCATTACTCGACAGCTCGTTCAAGGGGTCGTTCAGCGGGTTGTTGCGCTTGACCTTGCGTCCGGCGATTTCGACCTCTTCATCGGCCGCACCGCGAATCACACGCAGAATCTTGCCGGTCTCCGGATCACGCTCAACCTTAATTTCGCTTGTGGCAGTTTGCTTGGCGAGCGCCTCGGTGCTGCTCTTGATGTACAAGGAATCTTCGGGCTCTCCTTGGATACCGTCCGCGGTTGCGCGCTTCTGAGAACCACCGGAGGGAGCATTGAGGCGGTGGACGAGACCCAAGCGGCGGTAGTTTTGGGTGAGGGTTTGCTTGCGGTCCCTATCGAGAGCAGTATTAGTATACAGTCCAAAGGTAACTCTTCTTCCTGGTTTGTTCTGTCACATCATAAACGTACCAGTTTTCCGCAATGATAGCATTTCCCAAGACATTGATCTTCTTCTTTCCGCTCTTGAGGAGACCGGCTCTCTTGGCCTTGGCCTTGGGCAAAGAAGATCTCTTCTTCTTGGCTTGTCTGATGTTAACCATGGTGCCAGATATGGAATTGGAATATCAGAAGTGGGGTGATGTATTCAAAGGACCGGAATTGAAGCTCAAAAAATTGCGGCGACAGAAAACGGATCTTATCGAGTTTGCATGTTTGCACTGATAGGGGCTTGGCGTGTTTGCTGCAGGGTCCCGATACGGCGATAACAAATCAAAGCCGGGATTTGGAGGTCCGAGAACGGCGCATCATGTTTATCTCACCGGCAGCTATTCCCTCTTGTTTCTCTCTTTCTTTCAAGTCCTCTTCTACTACTGTCTGGGGTAGCCTACAATTGATTAATTGCTACTATGGCACCCTCTTTCCTGGCTCCGGCTCGGCGCATGGGCCTTGCGCTCGCCGCGGGTCTCGTTCTCTTCTCCGCACTTGCTGTTGCGCATGATGCTATCTCTGTAGGGGACATGTCCGTGGGACAAATTGAGGAGGAGTTGCAGGTACGCCCGTGCCCCCTTGCATCCTTGATGTTCTGTCTGGGATGGAGAGCCATCGATCTCCCCATGACCCCCTCAACATACCCATTGTGTACTAATGCCATGTAGAACTGCCCTCTCGTCGAGTCCCTCAATGAGCATAAACGCGCCGCAGCCCCCCAAACAACCAGCTTGACGTCCAAGATCTTCTCCATCCTCTTCCCCGGCAGCCCTGCAGTCAATGCTATCCTGGCGACGATCTACATCTCCGGCCCACCCAGTATGTGACTTCTCGCATTCTACCTCCAACAATCATAACCATGTCCCTCCGCACTAGACTTCCTCCTGGCCCTATGCCCTCCAAACATCGACCCTTCCTCCCTGTCCGTCATGGTCGCCTTCGCCGTAGGCGGCCTCCTAGGCGATACCATCTTCCACCTGCTCCCTGAGATCTTCCTCGGCGAAGACTCCCCCGACCACGTCCGCTTCGTGATGGTCGAACCGAACCGCAACCTCCTCCTAGGCCTCGGGATCATGGTGGGCTTCTTCACCTTCGTCGCAATGGACAAAACCCTACGTATCGCCACCGGAGGAGCAGGACACGACCACTCCCATGCCCACGCCAACAACGATGACCACAAACCCACAGGCACCACAACCGGCGCCTCCCCGCAACCCTCCACCTCGCTCAAACAGCGCAAGCCCGCAAGCAACAGCACCACCACTCCCCAACTCACCGAGGAGGACAACGACGACAATGACGAGAAGGAAATCAACCCGAGCGTCAAACTGGGCGGCTACCTCAACCTAATTGCCGACTTCACGCACAACATCACCGACGGCCTCGCCATGTCCTCCTCCTTCTACGCCTCCCCGACCATCGGCGCAACCACCACCGTCGCCGTCTTCTTCCACGAAATCCCCCACGAGGTCGGCGACTTCGCCCTCCTCATCCAATCCGGCTTCTCAAAACGCAAAGCCATGGGCGCCCAGTTCATCACAGCCATCGGCGCCTTCCTCGGCACTTTCATCGGAATCGCAGTCCAAGAGCTCGGCGGGAATAGCTCCACCACAACAATCACCGATAATAGCCTGCCATCCGGTCTCCTCGGAACCAGTCTCACCTGGGGTGATATGCTCCTCCCCTTCACAGCGGGGACCTTCCTCTACGTGGGAACAGTCTCCGTTATCCCGGAGTTGTTGGAAACGGGCAAGGATAAACGCACGGAGATTAAGAAGACCATTGTGCAGTTCTTGGCTGTTATGGTTGGGGCTGGGATTATGCTTGTGTATGTTTCTTTTGTTTTTTCCCCCCTTCCTATCCCTTCCTTCTTCTTCTTCTTCTTCTTCTTCCCTTGGTATGACGTGCCGTGAATTCTGCATCGCTAACGCTTCTCATAGCATTTCCTGGGATTAGATCACGAGGCCTAACGTGGTAGCTCGATTGATTGACTATTATGAGAAGCATTTCATGTTGAAAGATGAGAGATGAGATGGCATATGGATATAGAATTCAGTAAATAAAAGATGGTGTGGACCATCAAAGAATAGACAATCAATTTAATATGATCGAGGTTCTTATTAGATGACTACTCGCAGTATCATACTACCACATACTAAAGAGTTCAAAACCTCTGACATAAGTATTGCCTAGATCGACCGTACTACTACATCATAATTATGAGCCCATTGAACAGTTAATATTAGTACTACGTATGGCACACTATGGGCGAGTGAAATGTATAGCAAATGGACATATGACGTAGTTATAATAGTATAGTAGTTGTAAGCTACTCAGCCAGAAACACCAGAACCACTAAGCGCCCAGCGCGCGGACGTAACATGAGACTAACTCCCCAGGCAGATGTAGATGGATAGGTGAGTAGACGTGGATCGTCAACTATTATAGTCTAATTAAAGCAAAGTAAAGTAAAGCAAAGCAAAATACATTCTTCATTCCGGTCTATTGTTGGTGTTCGCTTCATGTGAAGTCATATCGTAATAGGAATCTATCATGCGTAATCACTCGTTATAGTGATACACCTGTGGGCATGGCGTTAGTGGGGTCAATCAGATGAAAGAAGGAAGAAGGGGGGGGGACATACAAAATAATCAGGTAAGCCGTAGACGGAATATCCCAGTCGCTTCGCCATCTTAGCGAAGCCCTCCGTCTCGACAAGGTGATAGAATGGGAAGGCCGGGAACATGGCGCCGTCGCGATGCACATCCGCCTTAACAAGGAGTGCGGTTCCACCGACGCCGTCAAGTTCCATCTCGCGGCTAGGACGGGGCGCCCCGGTATTTGCCATGTAGGCCATCAGGGTGCGGTAGGTGGGCATCTCGGCGTATCCCTCAAGGAGAATCTCATCTGGACCCATCATTCCCGCCAGCTCTTGGGCGGTCGAACTGTCGATCCACGAGTTGAAGTCGTAAGGGCGGACGTCCATCTTCTTGGTATCCTTGTTATAGTAGCGCTGAAAGCAGTTAGGAACGATCACGGGTCGATTGTGGGCCGTCAAGTCTTGGATAAGGGTGGCTGGAGTCTCGACAATGTCGGAGTCGAGCCAGAGTACCCAGGAGGTGCTGGGACCGAGGGTGGTGAAGAGGAGGCTGTTGCGGGCGCGACTCATGGACTCACGACGTGCTTTCTGGTTGGACATTTTGTGGCGCTCTTTCTCGTCCTGCGATTGAATGGGCGGGTCGAAGTCCTGGCGAAGGATGCTGATGCTGGCGAAGCGGCTGTCAACCGGACCGGACTGAGTCTCGCTGATGGCCTGTTCCAGCGCGGTGACAGCGGCATCGCCGTCCTTGGTTTTGGGGGCGATGAATCCAATCGAGATAAGCTCGTGTGGGTAGCTCAATTTTACGACATTGTCCCAGAACTCTTGGTAGAAGCGGGCCAATGGGGTCAAAATCAGCACCCGTTCCCCTTTCTTGATAGACTCGCTGGTGCTGCTGAGCTCGTTGAGATTGTAGTGCATCACGGGCGGGGGGGCTTTCTGCCCATCTCCGCGGACGGCTTGAGATTTGAGGAAGGGTTTCGTCGGAGGAGAAAGGGGATGTTCGGCGGCATCTTCTCGTCGTAGCTGCGAGGAGGAATCGGTGACAGGAGCGGCGGCGGCGGAGGAGGAAGGGGACAGCAGGAAGCAAAGGAATCCGAAAGCTAG